ACCAAGACCTTCTTGGGTTTAGGGTTTATAGGGTTTAGGGTTTAGGGTTTGGGGTTTAGGGTTTAGGGTTTCGGGTTTAGGGTGACCTTCTTAAGATTCTCCGAAAATGTGGCGGATTTTCTTCCGAGCTCTTCTGAAGCCTTCACTTGAGATTGCCCACGGTTGCAGGGAGGATGTCAGATTGGGGAGTGTGGGTTCGCATGTCAACATTCCAGTTTAGCCTTCCGGAATCGAAGCCGACCCCCATAACATGCGACGGCAACAACTTTGCCGTGGCGTCACGTCTCAAGGCGCACTTCCTTCGGTTCACCTGCCCGTCCCCATCATCCTAAACAATAAACCCAAATCAAAAGCCCCGAGCCTGAACTTTTTGAGACCGAAAGAGCGTCCCTCACACAACAGGAAGTTCTGTTGATTCGGCTACCTATGCAAGACCAAGATTCGAACCGTTTGCTTGTTCAGCGGGTTTGTGCCAGAAGGAGGAAGCTCGTCGAAATGCGGGTCGGAATGGGGGAGTGGGATTTAGGGCCTTAGGGCAGCCGTCAACCTTAGCAGCAAACCCAGGATGTAGGGTTGTAGGCTGTATTGTGTTCAGGGTATCCGTTAACCAAGCCTACCTTGGTAGCCCTGTAAGCATGTTAAAATCAGGGTACCCTTTTTTTGGTGTTGCATACTCTATCAGGAAACCTTGAACCAAAACAAGACAAAAAAAAGGGTAACACTGGGCTACCAAGCCTACCCTTAGCACACGTTGCAACGCCACAACCCTAAACCCTAAACCCTAAACCCTAAACCCTAAACCCTAAACCCTAAACCCTAAACCCTAAACCCTAAACCCTAAACCAATAAAGGCCGAGACCATGCACTCCTTCCAGCCACATAAATGGCATTGAGCATCAAAACACTCAGAGACGGGGTCATGGTTGTAGGATGGGCTCTTCTACCCGTAGAACCCTTTTAAGAGGTTTTAGGGTTTAGGGTTGATTGCGGCGATTATAAGGCTTACTAGCCCACCCCAATTCCTGTTGATCGGATGGAGGACCAGGACCCCGAGTTCTCAATCTGGGTGAAACAGCTTTTGGGCACTGAGCGGTGCGGCGCAGCGCACCTGGCAGCGCAGAGATTGCAATCAGTGTGTTCCTGGAGAATGTCCCTACACCCTCTCTCTTATAAACCCTAAACCCTAACCCCTAAATCCTGAACCCTAAACCTTATAAACCGTATACCCTAACCCTTTTTTGCAACAGGCTTCGTACTTCACCTGGGGTATGCTCCCACAACCCTAACCCCTAAATCCTGAACCCTGAACCTTTGGCGCTTCCGGTCTCGGGCTTGCCCCAGCTTTTTGGTATCCGGGCTCTACGCGACATCTGCCGGAACCAAAGACTCCACCCACTTCAACCCCTAAATTCCTGAACCCGAAACCCTAAGCCTAAACCCGTTTTGAACCCTCAAGCCAGAAGCTGCAGGGAGTTGCATCTTTCAGGAAGGGGTCCAGTGGCGAACTTAAGGACTCCAAAACGAAACCAAGCCCTTAACCCGTGCCGTGGGTTAGGGTCCCCTACAGAAGTAGTGGCTGAATTGGGGGGGTTCTTGGGCCCTACTATACGAATGCTTAGTTCTTAAGGAACGAGTTGCTGCATGGGGGTCCTAACCGACCCGGTGCCTCTAAAATTCTCAGCCACAAGGAAACCCTAAACCCTAAACCCTATAGCCCTAAACCCTAAACCCCGGTGCCTCTAAAATTCTCAGCCACAAGGAAACCCTAAACCCTAAACCCTAAACCCTAAACCCCGGTGCCTCTAAAATTCTCAGCCACAAGGTCAGGAACGTTCACAGGAAGGCAGCCACGGTCTTTGGCCGTTTCGCAAGCAGCTCCTGACACCGAATCTGGGCGCATCTTCCTCTAAAGCCCCAATTACGGGCTGCCTGGGTTAGGGTTTAGGGTTTAGGGTTTAGGGTTTCGGGTTTGGGGTTTAGGGTTTAGGGTTTAGGGTTGAGGTCGAAAATGGCATGCTTGCTGCTTCTTTGGGACGTCATGAACAAAAGTAGCAAACGTTAAGATTTTGGAGTTGCTGTAAACCCTCAAGGCAGGCAGTGACAGCAACCCAGCAATGTCCTCCGCAATCTCAGACTGGAATTTCTCCTGACAAGTTTGCTCATCCAGACATGTTGCGTGGGCGTGCTTGAAGCTCGAAAGGCTGAACTGCCCGGAGGTCCCTCAAAGTTTTGGCAATTGGGGCTCTCAAAAACAGTTGCTGTGAACTTACGCTATATTTCTGCCTCGGCCGCTCGGCAGAAACTTCCATTCAACAGGCAAAATACGCAACTTCTCGGTCCCCGGGCCCTTGCCAAATCCCCCAGGTACCCTCAGTAGGAATTCCGATGCCGCCAAGGCTCCTCGACTATTCGCATCTGGTGGCGTGCCCAGATGAACCTGGGGAACGCACATGCCGAGGCGTAGCCAGAGAGATGCCGGTGTGGAGCTGTTTGCCAGGGAAACGAATCAGATTTCTCATCTTAATCTTCTGATAGTTTGGGCCTACCATAAAAGGCCATAGCTTTGGGGAGGGGCTTGGTGTAGTCTGGCTGTGGCCGAATATGCCCTTTGGTCGTGTCAAGCCCCTTGTCAGCTTTACTCACTACACTTCCGACAGCCTGGTGGCTGGCCGCAGAGCCGACCCTTCTGTTGCCAACCTATGTTACGCCTGCCCTGCGCCTGTTGCAGCCTCTACTTCTTTGCTCACAGGCTGCTAGGTGTTGTGCTACCCAAAGGCGGGGCAGGGTCTCACTCCTACACCCAGAGTCCGAGAGGTTCTGCCCTAGCCCCCTAAACCCTAAACCCTAAACCCTACACCCTTTACCCTAAACCACTTGCAGCCGGAGCGGCTGCTGGTGAAACTCCCAGGCCACAAGAGTCTCCATGGACAAGGGGCTTTCTTCCACCCTGTCGCGGGGAACTCGCCAGAGAACAGAAACACCCCACCCCATATTCACCAAAGCCCGTACCCTTTGCAAAGGGGGGTTCCTGTAATCAGTATGAGGGCATGGGGGCCGATTAAGGATGCCACCGAGCTCGTGCATCTTTCCTACTGCTGTACAACCCTAAACCCCCTCATATACGGGCCTTAAAAAAACAGAATAGGGTTTCGGCGGGTTATTGTGGTACAGTTATCTAGGGACCATAAGTGAATGCACCTGGCTGCCCAGCGTTTACGATTGGATTCTTTAAAACCCGGCGGAGGACCCTCTGCTAACTCGAAGCAATGCCTGCTTTAAAAACTTTTTTAAAGCAACCAAAGAGTTTAAAGGCCTCCTAAACCCTTGTTCCCTTTTTGCCTCTGGACTCCCTAAACCCTCAACCCTGAACCCTAAACCCTTTAAATCCGAAAACCTGAATCCCTAGACTCGGTTCCATCCACGAACGCCGGCCTCTGAAAGTTTTGAAGCTTGCTCTGTGTACAGGGCACGCTGCCTTCCTGGGTGCTTTGGGTTTCGGGGTTGTAAACCCTAAACCCTAAACCCTGAACCCTCAACCCTCAACCCTAAACCGTTCGGGTTTGGGGTTTTGGGTTTAGGGGAATAGGGTGGCAGCTGTGGTGTGACTTAAGCAGGTCGTGATGGGCCGCGAGCTGCGGAGAGAACGTATTCTTTTGCCACCCATCTAGTCACTGCAACGTCTACGGTTTAATGCTTTGGCTTTTACAAGGCTTTCGTGTCCCTAAACCCTAGACCCTAGACCCTAAACCCTAAAGGTTTCGAATCTCAAGCTCGCAACACAGCCGGCAAAGACTACAGTCTCATTCAGAGGGTCCCATCCTGCTACGGGAGGAAGGGGGGGGGGGGGGGCGGAATGGGGGAGAGGGGGCTAGGGGGTTCTACTACAAAAACTCTGACAAAAAGCTTGAATTGCTTCCTCTGACCCTTTTTGCATCCAGGTCTCTTGCGATGACCCTACACCCAAAAACCCTGCACGGAGAAATCCAATCAGCGAATTGCTGATTGCCAAACTAAGTGTTTCCCAAGCAGCCGCAGCTGGGAGGGTTTCTTCTGGGCGCTTGTCCTCCGATTTCAGAGGGAGGCTGTTTAGGGTTCAGCGGCCAGTCGAAAAAAGTGCGCTTTCGGAAGTTTACATCCTCCTTCTTTTCGTGCTTGTAATTGCACATGTGGGCAATCGCCTAGGAATCAAAAGGCCCTGGAAGGAACCTAAGCCCTGACAAAAGGGAATGAAGAAAGGCCAACTCTGCTTCGAGTTTCTATTTCGGGACCAAATCAACCCTAAAATTGGGATCATATTCCCTCTACTACTATATTCCCGATGAGGGCATGCGAACCAGGGTTCAGGGTTCAGGGTTCAGGGTTTAGGGTTTAGGGCAACTCTGCAGCTCGCACGCTTGACCAGGACACCCAGGTCCCCCCATTTAGGGTTTGGGGGGGGGGGGGGGGGGGTGACGCATGGAAGGATGGATGCTTTTGCAACACGCCTGAGACATCGCGCCAACGACAGCAGCGTTCCAAAAGCCCTACATCCTTCCGCAAGAACCCTGAGATCCTACTGCAGGTGCTGTCAGGGGAGTGTTTGGGTTTAGTGTTTAGGGTTAGGGTTTAGGGCTTAGGGTTTAGGGTTTAGGGTCTGGGGTCTAAGGTTTCGGGTTTAAGGAATAGATCCCACTGTGTTCATGCCCCAGAGGACCTCAGCTGGTGCAGCCGGGCAAGGGATGTTGAATCGATTCCTTGGTTGCCAGGATCTCGGCCGAACTGAGGGTTTCTGACATTAGGGGCACCTTATTGGGGTCCTTAAGCCCTAAACCCAAAACCACAAACCGGAAGGGAATCCTACCATTTGGGGGCTCTATTTTCGCCATCCCCCTATTCTCGTAAACCCCCAAATCGGACCTGCTTAAATGCTAAAACGCAAACCCTATAAGCCTATAAACCCCCCATAAGCTGTATATAAGCCCTTGTGAACCCTGCCCACACTAACTGGTACCATCCCGGTCCTAACCATAGAAGCTCTGCAGGTCTGAGAAATGAGGGCTCAAAGGCTGTGGGTCGATAGGCTTTGCTCCAGGTCTCATGTTCAGAGCATCGAGCACAGGGGACAGAACCATGTCCTCGGGCAAGCTTGCAACTCCAAAGGTGCGGCGCCACAATATGGAGGTTTCCGAAATTAGGGGGTACCTTATTGGGGTCCTTAAGCTATAAGGGAATCCTACTATTTGGGAGGTCTAATTATTTATGGGGCCCCCTATCTTCGTAAACTCCCCATATCCTGCCGGACAGCCCCTCCTTCTCTCACGTAAGGTCTCTTGCACCCGACCTCTCCTCAAGCCCGAGAGCATGTTCTTAAGCCAGCAGCCAGCGCATACTGCTCAAAATCCATATCCCCACCCAGTTGACTATAGCTCAATCCCAATGCATGTGGGGGGAGGGAAGGGGGGGGGGGGGGCGGGGCTTTTTGGGTACCCCCGAATCCTAAGCCCCTGGAGCTGAAGATCCGGCCCAGCCACCGTATTCTCACATCGGTTTAGGGTTTAGGGTTTAGGGTTTAGGGTTTAGGGTTTACCCTTTTTGGGGTTGGTCACTTTGTCAGGGAACCTAGAACCCCAAAAAGGGCAAACGGGCACCACTGGGAAGAAAAAACACGGAGCCCTCGGAAAGGGTACCCCTATTTGGGGAAACCCTTAACCCTAAACCCCCACACCCGTTTTGCAACGTCACGGCCAGGACAGCGCGCATACACTGCAACCGCCTTTTTTGAACCTGGAATCTGCACCATTAACTACCTAAACCCTTTTTGCAGCAGGTACCTAAACCCTAAACCATAAACCCTAAACCCTAAACCCTAAACTCTAAACCAGTAAAGGCCGAGACCATGCACTCCTTCCAGCCACATAAATGGCATTGAGCATCAAAACACTCAGAGACGGGGTCATGGTTGTAGGATGGACCCTAAACCCTAAACCCTAAACCCTAAACCCTGAACCCTGAACCCTGAACCCTAAACCCTAAACCCTAAACCCTAAACCCTAAACCCTAAACCCTAAACCTAAACTCCCATGAGTTTGGCAACCCCCACCCGCTGATGGGGCCCCTGCCGCAGCGGTGGCCAGGCGTGCGACCCAGCCGGGCCTGAGACACAGGCATACGGGTTAGGGTTTAGGGGGTTCGGGGTTTAGGGCATGGGGTTTGGGGTTTAGGGTTTGGGGTTTAGGATTTGGGGTTTAGGGTTTAGGGTTTCGGGTTTAGGGTTTAGGGTTTAGGATTTGGGGTTTAGGGTTTGGGGTTTAGGGCTTAGGGCTTGGGGTCTAGGTTTTGGGGTTCAGGGTTTACCTGGACCCTCCAGGGGACCAACATATAAGTTCTTGTTTGGAATAGCATGAATTTCAGTCGCTGCTCAGGAAAATCGTTCTTTGACTTGAGAAAAAAGTAGTGCTCAAGCTCGCCATGTTTGAGCAAAGGTGGCAAAGCAGCGGCCGGCAAAAAGCCCGTTTTGCCGGGAAAGAGCGCGCTTCAGTCGGCACAGAGCGCCGTCACTAAACATGAGCCCATGTTTCATTCTGCAGTAATCCCGAAGAAAAGCTCGAGAATATAGATGTGATTTTGGTTGAAAAAACTGCTTTTCTTCAAAAATATTGGCCTCCTCGTTAGGGTTAGGGCTGAGGCTCGGAGTTTCGGAGTGCAGGCCTTGGGGTTTGGGGCTTGGTATTTGGGGCTCAGGATGGTTTAGGGTTTAGGGTTAGGATTTAGGGTTTAGGGTTTAGGGTTTCGGGTCCCGGGTTTAGGGTTTAGGGGTTCTGTTGGGTTTAGAAGACTCTTGGACATAGACTCGGTGGCGTCCCTGGGCACACTTCTCGACGTAAGTGCAGCTCAGAACTTCGATAGCCCTTGAAACCCTCTGAAAAATATCCCTGAATATGATCCTCTTAAACCCAATAAGGGAAAATATAGACTGCCCCAAAGGCCCTAAACCCTAAACTCTAAATCCTAAATCCTAAGCCCTTACCTAGAGAAAGGTTCCGGAGTGTCCATGGCGTCTTTCAGCTTGATGGGCGGCATGTAATTGAGACCGCGTGCCACCCTCCTTCCGCTTCCCAGTGGCGCCCTCACCCCCTGTTTAGGGTTTAGGGTTTAGGGTTTAGGGCTATCTTAACACCTTTACCCCTTCTGCCCTCAAAAAATCTCCTCAATGCCGGCTTCTTAAATTCAGAACAGCTACCAAGAACCGAGCCTTTCACCCGGGCGAACGCTAACATTTCTTGTTTTGTGGGAGGCGCTAATACTAAAAACAGGTCAACCCTAAGCCTGATGAACCCTAAACCCTAAACCCTAAACCCTAAACCCTAAACCCTAAACCCTAAACCCTAAACCCTAAACCCTAAACCCTAAACCCTAAACTGACCAGGTGGCAGATCTGAGAGCTTCAAGTGTCCGGAAAGGTCGGTGCAGAAGTGGAGGCAATTGCCTTGGCTTCTGCTACGCCAGTGGCTGTTGCTGGTCACTCCTGCGTGTCTTGTTTAACCCTGCTTTGGAGTAGACCCTGGAAAAAAGTATACACTTTTTCGGTATAAGTAGCCATAATGGGAACCCAGAACCCAAAAAAGTATTGAGGTATAGTACTCCAAAACCCAGCTAATGTGTTGCCTTCAAACTTCCCTGTGTTTTTTGTTGGTCCAACAGGACCTGTAGGCTGGTCATGCTGAGCAACTGCTGGTGCACGAAGAGGTAAGGTTCTGAGAACCTGCCTACTTTAGATCTGAAAGTGGAGAAGGCCTTCCATCAGCAGAAGTATTGATGGTGGCATTCTGACGGCTGTTGCTTCGATTGCTATTCCTATCCCACTACTACTATTTCGACGACGCTTGCGAGAACGATACAGTATCCAGTACGATGCTTTTGGCATGATGAAAATCATCATGCTCGTGTTTGTTCTTTTACAGAGGTGTTGCTGCTGCTACTACTTACTACGACGACGAGGATGACCACAACGACGGCGACGACGAGTATGCATAGAATTCTCACTACTGTTCCTGCGCTTACTGCAGTGTTTTGCCGCCTGCGTGCTTTCAATGTGCTTGCTGTTGCTGTTGTTGGAGTTCCTGCTGTTCCTGGTTGTTGCTGTTGCTGTTCCTGGTGCTGCGGTTGTTCCCAAGCAGCTCCTCGCTGCCACGTGGAAGGTACATTGCAGTCTGGACTGCGGCGACCCTTCGAAAGCATCGGAAACATTGTTCCTCACAGTGCTCCGTGGTTTCTCATCAACACCCAGCGTTTCACAATGCATTTCTTGCCCCAGAGTCGGGTTTGATGAGGACATCTGAGCTCATCAAAAACAATGTGTTTCACGATGCCTTCTGTGCCCAACATGAAAGCAAAAAAACGGCAAACACCCATACAAATGCTGATTGTTGGTTGTAACATGTTTTTGTTGACCCTTCGCGGCGGGCGGGCCGCTTGCCTTGCTGTGCTTGTTGTGCTTGTTGTGCTTGTCGTGCTTGTCGTGCTTGTCGTGCTTGTCGTCGTCGTCCTCCTCCTCCTCGTCCTCCTCGTCCTCCTCGTCCTCCTCGTCCTCCTCGTCCTCCTCGTCCTCCTCGTCCTCCTCATCGCCGACGTCGTCGACGACGACTGACGGAGATATTAAGATTAGGAGTTCAACCTGCACCGACGCATCCTCAACCCTTGCACTCTCTCGGAAATCTCAGGACTAAAGTTCACTGAATAAGTCGCGGCTAGTTTAGGGTTTAGGGTTTCAAAACCCTAAACCCTATAAACCCTACTAAACCCTGTAAACCCTATGAACCCTCTACATCCAATAAACCCTATAAACCCTACTAACCCTCTAAATCCTATAAACCCTATTCACCCTATAAACCCTTTTAACCATATGAACCCCAAAAGCCCTACATACTATAAACCCCATAAACCCCACAAAACCTAAAAAACGCTAGAAACCCTACAAACCCGATTGAAACCCTTCAACCCTATAAAACCCTACAAATCCTATAAACCCTATTAAACCCTGCAAACCTCTAAACCCTGGACTCGTGGGAGTCCCTGTTTCGGTTGTTCTTGGCACAAGTCGCGCTTCAGTGGGTGGTAGGCGGTTCCAAGCCAGTCTGCCGCGATACTGCGGAGGAGAAGCCACACGTCCTCGCTGTCAGCAAACGGCATGGCTTGTTATCTTTATCCTCTCATTATCATATTGTCATATTGTCATACTCTCTTAGTTTCCTACTATTAGCTTCTTATCAAATTGTCATATCGTCTTACTCTCGGCTCTTTCTCATATTTTCTTATTATAATATTGTCATACTCTCTTAGTTTCCTACTATTAGCTTCTTATCAAATTGTCATATCGTCTTTTTCCCTTATTTTCTTGTTATCATATTGTCATACTCTCTTAGTTTCCTACTATTAGCTTCTTATCATATTATCATATCGTCTTACTCTCGGCTCTTTCTCTTATTTTCTTATTATCATATTATCATATGGCCATACTCTCTTAGTGCCCTGCTACTAGCTTATTATCTTGTTATCATATCGTCTTACTCTCTAATTGTCTTATGGTTACCTTTCAGTCATGCATGCCCCTGTCCATCCTCCTGTCGAGGAAACTTTTAACACCTCTTTGAACCCAGACTCTTGTCCTCATCAGCTGCTCCCAACTTACATCCTAAATCCCCTTCTTCTGAGAAAACACACACACACACACAAAACCACCAAAGCCTCAACCCAAACACACACAAAAAACAGACTTTTCCCTTGGAGCTCCTCTGCTTGCATGGTGACAGGGCCCAGGCACACAGAGTCCCGGTAGATGCCAGCTGGGCAGCTACGCCTCGCTCGCGCGGGCTCGGTTTGGCGGCTCAGGAACCCCAAAGCCTAAACCCTAAACCCTAAACCCTAAACCCTAAACCCTAAACCCTAAACCCTAACCCTTGGGGGGATGCAGGCTCTCTCTTCGCAGGCTCAACAATGTGCAGCTTACAGAGGCTAGAAGAATAAGAACAAGAACAAAAGCTCCCACCCTATGCAAGCTAACGCCAAGTCAACAATTACATATATAGATATGTATACATATATGTGCTACCATTTACATGCGTTTCTGATTATTATAGATTTGGTTGTAACTCTGAATTTGAACACCCTCTTCCCAGAGAGCCGAGCGCACCTAAACCCTGCAATTGGCAGCCTGCAGCTCATGCTTAGCCAAGCCCCAAGGCCCTCCACTCCAAACAGTTGCGAAAGCCGGTCGGGAACCAAATGTAGGGTTTAGGGGTTAGGGTTTTAGGGTGTAGGCTCCCTTTGTACAGAGTTAAGGGTTCATAGGGTTTTCCGATGCACAGGTTCGTTCCCATTTTCAGAAGCTGCGCCAAGACAGGACCCACGCGTTAGAACCCTTACGTCCAATCCAGCCAGGATGCGGCTCAACAGGATAGATGCCAGTAACCGGATGCTGGCCCTCCTTGCCGGCTTAGGGCTTCGGGTTTAGGGTTTAGGGTTGAGGGTTTAGGGCTTATGGGTGGTGCCCATAAGTAGAGGCAAGCCGGGGTACTTTGTGAGAGCTCGTAATCAGCACAGAAAAAGGCACACGGCGGCTTCTTCCGAAGTAGGTACCCCTTAGGGAATATAGGTGCCATCCTGACGGAAGCCCTTATCCCTGACTTTTCAACCAACCCAACACGCCCGAGGCCCAGGCTACCCCAAGGCCACACAGATTGCTTCACCATGTACCTCGAGGGCCTGATGCTTCTTTGCTCTACACCCTGAGCTTGAAAGCGCAAGTTAAGACGTGCACCACCCACCTTGAAAATCTCATGTCACCCGCTGTGCTCCCAGGAAAGACTACTCTCTTCCCGATGCCCCACCTTACACCCTACACCCTACACCCTAAACTCTCAACCCTAACCCTAAGCCCTAAGCCCTAAGCCCTAAGCCAACCTCGACGGCCCTAGATTCGAGGCCTAACAAGCCTCAGCTATGACCTCCTGGAATGTTTTGTAGCCCTAATCCCTAAACCCTAAACCACAAGACAGAGGACCCTGAAAATCAGGCCATCGCTTGAAGTGCCCCGGCCTGCACGCCCACGTACCCGAAGGCCCACCTAACTGGAAGAGACTCTCGAAAGCAAGGGCTTAGGGTTTAGGGTTTAGGGTTTAGGAGGCAGCTCCAGGAGTGGACTTCCCAGCTATAGGGCGGGGGTAGTGGCAAACACCGGGGATTTCTTGTCCTCCCGTCTTCCTCATACAAACCCCCGCCCCCCCTATCTAATCTATAGCTAGAGACAGCCACGCCACCGATTAGAGGGTGCCGCAACCCTAAACCCTAAACCCTAAACCTTAAACCTTAAACCCGAAGTGGGGAGCAGCCAGGGCACTCCACACCGAACAGCTCGATGCCTGCGTGGTAGATGCCCAAGCCGACCGGCTGCAAAGTGCTGTTGGTGCCCTGGGCAGGGTTTAGGGTTTAGGGTTTAGGGTTTAGGGTTTAGGGTTTAGGGTTTAGGGTTTAGGGTTTAGGGTTTAGGGTTTAGGGTTTAGGGTTTAGGGTTTAGGGTTTAGGGTTTAGGGTTTAGGGTTTAGGGAGGTTGGGAGGTTCCATACACCCAGAATTCTGGGAGGATCCAAAAAGTTGATCCCCTTAAGGGTTCCTAAGAATGACCGAATATCGTAGTGTAGGGTACTATTTGGGGGCTCTACTTTTGGATCCTCCCAGCGGGGAGTGGGTCCTAGAGTTTGGGGTTAAGCAAGGTGACTGTACTTCTAACCTTATTCAGGGTGCTTGTAACCCTACCTACAAGTACCCATGAACCACTTTCATAGAACCCCACTTTGTAGTCCTCATGAACCTCGGTCATTTCAACCAGAGGTTTAGGTAATGGAAAAAGACATCCTGACCAACATCCTCCTACAGCCAGGATTTACAGGGTTTAGGGTTTAGGGTTGAGTGTGAAGAAAGGGCTAGGGAATGGAACACGATAAGACTGGTCTGTGCGGTTTTGGGGGTGCCTCGCCCGGGAGTATACTTCACACTGTATACTGGTATTGCAAGTATAAAACTGATAAGGCATACATTCCTCAATGCGGGGCTCCCTGACTCTTTTCGCACCCGACAGGCCGACAGACGCAAATCATGAAAGGTTTGAGAGAGGGGAGACGCCGCATGCCGCAGCCGACGATATTGAAATGCACATGCCGGCTTAAGCATCGGCTTCCTTAGAAGAGGCTCCCTGACCAAGGCCTTGCAAAGCACGTCACGTGACATCTTGCTCGCTTCTGGCCCGATGGTGAGTCTCGAGCTCCCCTCAGCCTATTCCAAATCAACTCACAGGGGAAGCCTGCAAATCAGCTCGTCCTCCCTTATTCGACCTGTCGTCACAGCTGTTAGCGTTTAGGGTTTAGGGTTCAGGGTTTCGACTCTCGCACTCACTGAAGCAAGCAACGGTTTGGGGTTTAGGGTTTGGGGTCTAGGGTTGAAGGCTCTTTCAACACTGACAGTCTAAGCCGGTTTTTGACTCTTTGGGCCATACCACAAGCTCCAAAGCCTTGACAGCGTCTATGACGTCTACGTCTATGACGTCTACGGGTCGAAGCGTAGAGGACGAGCATATGCAAAAGCAAGCTTCAGCTCTCGGCGAAGAGAATCCTGCCACATGCCTAGGGGAATACTTGCACACACTTCTTACTAGCTGCTGCAGAACAAAGTTGCAGGATCGCGCAGGAGTCCTCGCCGTCTAATTACGTGCCCGAAGGCTGAGGACCAGTCATCGACCGAACATCTTTCAGTCCTGGGCACTGCAGCCTGGGAAAGCAGACATTGCTGCAGTCCCTGGCTTTTGCATTGCAGCTCCTGTCTGCTATGCCTGTCTGGCTCTACTCCTCGCACTCCTCCTCAGTGAAGGCCGAAGACCCACGCATGGACTTCTCTGTGTCGTCGCTCACCCCATCGTCCATAAGCTGGATCATCTGCTCCATGTTCGCTTCGGAGTACATGGTCGGGACCGAGGCGTTGAAGCCAAGCTTGGCCTCCAACTGCTGTCGGAGGTCCTTGAGGTTGGCCATGGCATCCTTGACCGCATTCAGCTCCTTAAGCTCCTCCAAGCGCCTGGGCGTGGGCACCGTGTAGAGGCTGCTGATCGCCTCGGCCTTCTTGGGATTCTTGATGATGTCGCCCTTGGCGCACGCCGCGTGCACAGCGGCGCCATAGGGGGCCATGGCAGCCGCCGCGGTGATGATGCCGGAGATGCTCGCACCACAGAGGGCGCTGACGTCCAGGAAGTCCTGGCAGTGAACCACCTGAGTTCAACTTCCAGGGGCGCTTCTTGCAGACTTGCGTCAGTCTTCTGCACTGCAGTGTGCAAGGTCTGTCGTATTCGGCTGGCAACATTATGAACTAAAACAAACTTGCACGCAAACGAATCTCAAGGCACGATCAGGTTGATAAAGGTCACAACCTGGCTCATGTAGGCGATGGCACCGCCGATGTCCACTGTGCACAAGGCGCTGTAAAGACCGGAGACCTTGTTGATCGGCCCATCGAGGAGGACGCGGCCGCATTGGCCGCTGTTCACTGCTGAGTTGATGGAGATTCCCATATTGGCGAGGTTGGCCACGACCATGCCGACGTCCACTCCACACTGCACGCCCACACCGATCGGACCCTCACCGATGAGCAGTCGTCGGCCATCGCGCACGGTCTGGTCTCCGAGAACGCTGATCTTGGTGGTGGTCAGCTGTGGAGGTACCCCTGTGCATGTGGCCGCAGCCAGGGAAGCAGTCGCCGCAAGCTCGCCCATGACGGAGACGAGGCCTGTCACACCCACGGAGCAGATGGCATCCACATTGAGGTTGAGGGCACAGTTCGAGGCGGCGTAAGAGAGCTTCGCGGCGGCGTTGGCCACCCAGGTCACCAAAATGGCACCGTTCACTTGGCACGCGAGCTCCGACTCGCCATCTCGGGGGGCTGGGCAGGTCCTGATGATGGCGTTGATGTCGTCACCCATGCCAACCACCGACACAAAAGCCTCCAGAATGTTGAACGCACAGTAGGCGTTGGTGGCCTTGCGCATGCGGTCTGCATTCTGCTGCTTCTTGTAGGCGATGATCTCGTCCTTGGTCAGCATCTCTCGTGCGGCATCCGCCGGATCGGCTGGAAGAGACCGCACTTCGTGCTGCTCGTAGTGCTGGGAATACTTGCGGCCGGTACGCTTCATGGCCTTCATGACGATCTTCTCAGCCAAGGTGCGCTTCTTGACGCCCTTCAGGGCATCGGCCTTCAGAGACATCTGCCTAGGATGGCCCTTAAAAACCCTTTGAAAAATATATTCCCAAATAATAAATTTTTGAATAGAACGGAAAATACATAAAATATCCCCTAAGGGCCTATATCTAGTTGCGCATCCAGGCCCAGGGAGGACTTGCCCTGGAAGGCATCGAAGTCCAGGGACTGGCACCGCTTGGCTCCGGGCATGGCCAGGAAGCCCACAACACCCAGGCCCAGGGTGGCGACCAAAGCCGCCTTCTTCATCCAGCCTTCTGGGTCTCTCTCTCTCTCTCTCTCTCTCTCTCTCTCTCTCTCTCTCTTGGTGTTTTTTGAGGGGCTTAGATCTAAGGAATCCAACCTTCTGGGACTTCTGGGTCTCTCTCTTGGTGTTTTATCTAAGCACCCCCCCACAAGGAGGCAACCGCAATGTGCTTACAGAAAAGTGCTCTGGTAACTTCTGAGCCTGCAGAGCTCGGGGGAGAGGTCTTTGCCTCTGCCTCGGTCACCAAGTGGACGGCTTCGGACTCGGCCATGTTGGGAGAAGGGGGTTCTGGGGCGGCGATGCGCGGGGGCCAAAGCAATGCGAAGGTTGCGAAAGGAGGCTTGAGCCGCAGACCAGTGGGCATTCGAGCCTCTCGGTTCCGAATGCCGCCCCCCCCCCCCACCCCCCCTGCAACCCCCAACATACATATATATGTATATATATATACATATATACATATATATATACATATATATATATATGTGTGTATATATATATGTATATATATATACATATACATATACATATACATATATATATATATATAATGTATGCCCTATGAACCCAAAGAAGCCCTGCAAACCCGTTGCACCACTCAAGCGGCTTGTGGACGCTATAACTCACCCTCTCAAGTTCATTTTGTCCCAGGGGTCGTCTTACCGGGAGCCCCACAACAAGCCTACATGCGCACAAAAACAAACCCTTTTTTTGAACCCAGGCTCCGAGCATCAGCCAAAAACAAACCCTAAACCCTAAACCCTTAGCCCCTTTATGAGCCCTCAACTTTACAACAAGGACGCCATCCCGGGCGAAACCCATAGCGCCCGGGTCTCCTGAAACTCTCACCCGAAACTTCAGCCCTCAAAGAGTTCATAGGGCAAACCCCTAACCCTTAAACCCCAACCCTCTTTTTGAACCCAGGCTCTGAGCATAAACCCTAAACGCTAGACCCTAGACCCTAGACCCCAAACCCTAAACAGGGATTAGGGGGTCCTGCACGCAAAAAAACATCCTCCCGTGGGCACCTGCGTCCCATGCAGATCGTAGACGTGAAGCCAAGCCATGGGGCCTGTCGGGTGTAGGGTTTAGGGTTTGGGGTTTGGGGTTTAGGGTTTAGGGTTTAGGGTTTGGGGTTTAGGGTTTAGGGTTTGGGGTTTAGGGTTTGGGGTTTAGGGTTTAGGGCTTCGGGGTGTCCGGGGGCTTGCATACCTTAACCCATTGAAGCCATTGAGCGCATTGAGAGCCCTAAACCCCTAAACCCTGAACCCTAAACTCTCAACCCTAAACCCTAAACCCTGTGAACCCTAAACCCTAAACCCTAAACCCTGTGAACCCTAAACCCTAAACCCTGTGAACCCTAAACCCTATGAACCCTACAGCCGAAACCACAAAATCTAAGCAAGTTGTCGGGGCACCTTCCGGGAGGGAAGGGAAGGGGTGGCTTTCGGGATAGATTTACAGAGGCACTTCGCGGAGTTTGCATCTAAAGCCCCTGACAGCGTGTGCCCGAAACATGGGTTACACATGAGTCGTTCTCTGAGTTCGTGTCCCTGTTTTGGGGTCCTTATTTCAAGAGAGCCGTACTATGTAGGGACCCCAAAAAGGGACCCTAATCTAGAGAACTACCCACATTCGTGCTGAAAGAAGATGCCCGGTCCGACCACGGGAGAAGGGTGGTGGGCAAGGCTGCCACGCAAGTGCAGAGGGGCGACAACTTGCATTTCCCTTCACAGGCTACCTCATCAACCCGCACAAATAGCATCAGACCTCCCAAATCCCAACAATCAGCACATGTCTGCGCCCTCGACTCGGAATTTCTCGGTTCTGTGCGGCTTTTGGGCAGAATGCGGGAAAGCTCGGGTCAGACCGACTTTCTGAGGGTAGTTATCAGGGCACATGCGCCATGCACCAAAATTCGGCCCAATTTCATCTCGAAAGGCTCTAGTTGTGTTGCCAAGGCTTTTGGAAAGTATCTGCAATGTGTGCACGGGCCTGCCTGATGCCTCCATCTCACCATCGGAGTCCGAGTCCTCGCGACACTCTAAGGTGTAGAGGGATGAAGTTTAGGGTTTCGACTCTCACACTCGCACAAGGCCGGCAAGGCTTAGGGTTTAGGGTTTAGGGTTTAGGGTTTAGGGTTTAGGGTTTAGGGTTTAGGGTTTAGGGTTTAGGGTTTAGGGTTTAGGGTTTAGGGTCTGGGGTTTAGGGTCTAGGGTCTAGGGTTTAGGGTTTAGGGTATGGGGTTTGGGGTTTGGGGTTTAATTAGGGGTTAGGGGGTTAGGGTTTAGGGTTTAGGGGTCTGTTTGGCCGATTTTTCCAGAAACGGGACGAGGAATGTTCTGTCTTGGGATGTTCCCCCTTATACTAACAGTCCGAAATAGGAATTCAAGGACCCCCTGTTATAATCCCGATTAAGGACTGGTAGTATAAGGGGAAGTTCTGTCCACAGAGCATCGGCATTTTTTCGGACACAGTTCACGTGCTTTGCTTACACCAAAGCATAATGAGCTTTCGATCCTGATACCATGCTTGACTGATGATCACATACCCTGAAACCCTAAACCCTAAAAAACACATCCCTCAAGGGGAATCCTCAAAATCCACCCCAGCGGCTATGAGTCCAACCAGTCCAACATGGTACAGTAAACTCCAGAAAGTTGGAACATGGTGTAAGGATGAGAGCCGGGATTCCCTTTAGAATACCTTTTGGGGTATGGGTTGGGATGTTCCCCCTTGCGAACAGTCCTCAATCGGGCCCCGATTATACTCCCCATTAAAGACGGCTAGTATAATAAGGGGGAACATCCCAAGGTATGGGGATGGTTCCACCTTTTTGGGGTCTAAACCCTAAACCCTAAAACCTAAACCCTAAACCCTAAACCCTAGTAACATGGAAGCCAATGGCCGCTTTGTACATCCCATGTCCGGCTCCGGTGGCTTCCGCGCAGGAATCCTCAGTCATCCGAGCCCTTCGGCTCCATGTGGGTTATCCGGGGTAGCTTTGGGGTTTAGGGTTTAGGGTTTAGGGCCCGAGAGAAACTAAATTTCTTATGGCTATACAAAAAGGACGATATATAGGGGCTTGAGGGGGACAAAAATGTAAAAACATATGTTCAAACCCATGCCTGTCATGGTGTATAAGGAGGCAGGACTCTGGTTACTGAAGTTGATCGAACCGAGTTTGTGAAGGTCCTTGGGTTTAGGGAGGGTTTAGGGTCTTGTTATATTTTGGCTGTTTGTAGCACGATGCAGCCCGGGTGAACAAACGCAAACAGGCCAGCAGAACCAAAGTGACTTTGCATGAGCTCACTGGGTGCAGGATTCGGGTAACCCTAAACCCTTAATCCTACACCCAAACCCGAGCGTCTCCCTCCACGGCTACGGCTTCTGCTGTCGCAGGACTTCATGAACACTCGTGACCCCTTGCCAACCCAGGGGTTTAGGGCCCTAAACCCTAAACCCTAAACCCTAAACCCTAAACCACAAACAAGTCAGACACCCGAAGCCCAAACCCTGCAGAAAACTGCCCGGCTTAGAGCCAAGCTCTGCAACGTAGCCATTTCGCAGCGACGCACTTAGGCGCAGCGCCTGGACACGTGGATGTACATTTTCACAGAAGCCTAGACCAACCCCAAACCTTACACCTCGTTTAGGGTTTAGGGTTTAGGGGTTTAGGGTTTAGGGGTAAGCCATATCAAACTCCTCATCCTGTTCGCTAACCGTCCATCCGACCCTGGGCTCTCAGATTGGTCTAAGTTTGGTTGCCGAATGGGGTTTAGGGTTTAGGGTTTAGGGTTTAGGGTTTAGGGTTGAGGAAACCCAACTTGGCAAGCGGGCTTGCTGCAAGCTCTTTTGGGATGCTGCGGCTTTTCGGGCTAGGCCACCTGGAGACGGAGCTGAGGAATATCAAGCACCCTCAGCCCCAGAACAGGCTTCCCTAAACCCTAAACCCTAAACCCAAAACCCTAAACCCTAAATATTGCCAGTTGCCTGCCGCTGTGCGAGACGGCGTGGCGTAGGAGCCTGCGGTTCCCATCAAGGGGCGGGGGCAGGCGTGTTCAAGCCCGTTTAGGGTTTAGGGTTTAGGGTTTAGGGTTTAGGAGTTCATAAGCCCACCAAAATGTACACTTTCCGTTTTATAGGGGGTTATAGTATCCCAAAAAGTGAAAAGTGTACTCACTCAGCTACTAAGGTATCATGATCTGGAAGTTGAGGAATCAAACGTCGAGGTGGTCCCAATGACCCATTAGCCTCCATACAAGGTGTGACCGGCAAGCCATGACCCGGCGCGAACCTTTACTCCAAACTGTCTGGGCATCTTAGCTGCGTAAGCACGCAGTACAAACTCTACATACCCCCTAAACACTGTTGAACCCAGTCTCGGACAAGCTAGCTGGGAGCAGCACCCTGTTACCAGAGGACTCTCTTGGCAACAGCCGAAAATCTAAACCCTAAACCCTGAGCCTAAACCCTAAACCCTAAACCCTAAACCCCTAAACCCTAAACCCTAAACCCCTAAACCCCTAACCCCTAAACCCTAACCCCAAAACCCAAAACCCTAAACCCTAACCCTTAACCCGAAAAATCTCTACACGTGCAGCCCGAGGAGCATGTGGTGGGCTACGCGGCCCGTCGCTGCTGCCCTGAGGGGGCGTAGCGTTTAGGGTTTAGGGTTTGGGGTTTGGGGTCTGGGGTTTAGAGTGCAGGGTTTAGGGTTTGGGGTGTAGAGTGCAGGGTTTAGGGTAGGGTTTAGGGTTTAGGGTTTAGGGTTTAGGGTTTAGGGTTTAGGGTTTAGGGTTTAGGGTTTAGGGTTTAGGGTTTAGGTGTTAGGGTTTAGGGTTTAGGGTTTAGGGTTTAGGGTTTAGGGTTTAGGGTTTAGGGTTTAGGGTTTAGGGTTTAGGGTTTAGGGTTTAGGGTTTAGGGTTTAGGTTTTAGGTTTTAGGGTTTAGGGGGCTTACCCAAACGCCTTGGGAGGACCCCAAACGTAGAAACCCGCAAATAGTGCCCTATACTACTACTATTGGGTCATTTATTAAGCACCCTTGAGGGGATCTACTTTTGGGTCCTCCCGGGGGTCTGGGAAGGGTTTAGTAGCGGACAGGGTGTTTTTTTTTGCGGCTGTGGTCTATTGTGTATTGGACAGGGTTTAGGGCTTATGGGTTTAGTAGTGGACAGGGTTTAGGGTTTGGGGCTTCGGGTCGAGGGCTTAGTAGGAGACAGGGTTTAGGGCTTAGGGTTTAGACAGGGTTTAGGGACGCGACGGCTTCTAAG